CGCGTGGAAATTGTACGATTTGTTCCTGTCAATTGAATGCAAGCTGTTCGCCTTTTGGACGCCCAGCAGTGCAGTTAGTTCAAAAGATTTCAGTCAATTTCTTGGCAGGCAGAACGAGTTTTGTGCCGCGGACGGAAAAAAATTATTTGTTAACTCCTGCAGGAACGCTATCATGTATCGTTCATAGACATGAAATTGGCTTGTAACGTTTTTTCTTTTTTTTATCTTGACAACTTGTTTCAATTCTAAAATAGAGTTCGTTGGAAAAAAAACTGTTAAATATTTCTTGATTTCCAAAGAAAATCAGAGAGAAAAATGGAAACATTATTGCAAATCTCTTTAATTTTGTGCGGGTAGCTATGATATTTTGTCAATTCAATTCAATTTTTTTACGGATATTATGGATATTTGTTTGAAAAAGTTGACACTCGAGGAGATGATAATGGAAAAACCCCGATATCTTCATTTCCATTATGGATTTTATTATTTTATTATGAGCTCTATATAATTATATCATTTTTTTGTTATTTTTATAACTTGAAAAAAATAAGCACTGCGGACACCAAAATATATTTAATTTAAATATGCTAATTCTTGTTTTTCCAATACCGCCATGTAACTGTAAATATTGTTAATTTATAATAATAAATATTTGACGATTTTCAAATCTATTGAAAATTATGCTACAGAAGAAAAGTGCAGTGGACCTGCTCGTAAGTGTATATCTGTTCTTCGTGAGCACAAATGCAACCGCCGATGAGAATAGAAGAATCTTTTTTCCTTCTTTCTTGTTGGCCGCCGCCGTTAAGAGCCGCTTATTCCGCGCGCACAATTGTGATGAGCAGACCGGCGGCGCCGGCAGGACCAAAATCTACAAATTCACGCAATAAATATATATATATTTTGAAATCGGACACAAGGGAGCTGGCCGCTTCTTTTATCAGAAAAAAGGAAGGTGCTCATGTGTCCTCTCATCTTTTTTCCGCACGACAAGACGGATTAGTGCCTTTGTGCGGCGGCACACTATGGTTGTTGTCGGCCCAGATTAATCGCTGGACCGATGGGGATAAATAATAATTCCCCTTCTCCAGCACCGGGCCTTATCGGATCAGCGGCAACAGTTTGGGTAGGCTTCATTGCGTCCAGCTTGAAGCTGGAATCTCTTGCCATATATTTTTCAAGCTGCGCCACTCTAGCGCGAAAATAATTTTCTGTACAGTTCAATACATGCTTCTCCTCCAATTGAACGTGGTGCAAACATCACGCGTGCCGACCGATATCGTAACTGATCAATTCGTTCAAAAAGAGCAACTCGCTGCGATTTGTCAACTCGCTCAGCAGAGATACCATCTGATTGCTTTATTGCTCCTTTTGTGCAAACCAAAAGTATAAATAGATCTTTCTTTCGGATTCATCTTCAATCGTAAGCACACTCGTACTCAAAGAGAAAATTTTGTATTTTATTTTTATTATTCCTACACAAAGATATTGAATATTACTTTCATTCCCTGCAAAATCCTTGATAAAATGTGCCTAAAAAGGTCAACCTAAAAATCATTTTATGTGCTTATTTAAAATCTGTGCACACACTGAATGGATAAAATAATTCTTAATTTGTGAAATGATAAATATTATTATTTATTTTCTTTGATTCATGTACGACTTAATTTAAGAAGAATAAACAATAAACTTACTTGCGACTCACTGCGGCGGATATATAAGGTATTTTTCGGTATTTTTGATCGCGGGAGTTTGAATATTATTATTTATCTTGGCTAGTGGTGGTTCATCTGTTTTAGCAATTCCTTTATCAAAGAAATTTAATTAGCACTGTATTGAAATATTAAGAAACAAATGCAACGTGCAACACATCAAGAAAAATTGTGGAACCATAATATAAAAATTTAATTGATAAATAATAAATGAAATTTTATCTTGAACGCAGCAATTTATGCGAATTGCAAAACTACAGTTTTTTTTATTTGCAGTGAGAATTTCACGGGATAAAATAAAGTCAACGCATTAAAAATGTCATAAATTGAGTTGAATAACGAAAATTGGCTCTTTCAACATTTTTTAAAAGCTGGTTTCATACTGTAAATTTTTTTACATCTCCCTTGTAGGGTTATTGCCGATTCGGTACCGCTCACGGAAAATACGCAGGACGATTTTTTTAATTAAACGATACTGCGTTGCTGGTTGGCTGGCTGCGTGCAAGCGATAATTAATGCTTTGTGCGGCCCGCGCGCATGTGTTGCTACTGCGGATGAGTGGCTCCGCTTTTGTGGTCAATAATATTTTGCCGGCAAGGAGAGCGACGCAATTGTCGCGCGCAAGAGTCGACGATCAATTCCAATTTATTTTTGGCAATTGCGTTTTATGGGGAGGGCAACGGATTCTGTGGTTTAACCATCGAACGTGTGCGGCGTTTGTTGTTTGACGTCCAAAGCATTTCCAGTCCAATCAACTATTGAATCAAAATTTATTTGAATATACAATCAGTTGAAATTTTGCGACACGTCAAAAATGGACTTGTACAATACATATCGTGGAGCCGAATAATAACTTAAAAAACAATGTTTTATGTATCTATCTATATTTTCTGCACCATTTCTCATTTTAAATGTATGCATTTGATTTTAGTTTAAGCCTCAAAAATATTATTAAAATAATTGACACCTCTACATGAAATTAGATAGACTTAATTTAATGCAATTGCACAATTTTATTTTTCATGAAAAGGCAAAATCCTAATAAAGAAAAGTGGAAAACAGCGATAAAGAAATGAAATGCGGGCCTAGCGTCCTTGTCAATTTGTTTAATATCAATTTAATAATATAAAAAATATGGGTCCTACAAGTATATTTATCTTCACTTTTTAAAACCTCCCAAAAATTGGGAGATAAATTTTCCGGTCTCTTTTGTACTATTAATGTGCCAAAAAATTCAAATGAAATGTAATTGTGGTAGCTGTGTTTGGAGAAAAACAATTTTTAGCAATTTAAGATCGAAATACAAAGAAGGATGTAGCTATTTATTCCTTTGAATAATAATTGTGTTATCTACTTAATTTTAGTTGCAAATTTCGTTTATCACCGGGAATTCTCTGCCCAAGTACATCATCCATAAATTGAACATTATAAATTTACAAGAGCGAGTAAATACATCAAAAAACTCAAAGACACAGAACAAAAAAAAAAATATTAAGCAGTCCTTATTATTATCAAAACAATATATATCTTTTTAAATAAAAAAAAAAATCTTTACACCAATAATTTTTTTAGCAAAATAAGCCTCAAACCTTAATTGAGTGCTAATCACAATTTGAGTTACTCTATTATTTCTTGAAATCCAAAAAATTTCCCTGTGATAAAAAGGAACTGAAATTTTCCTCCTCCAGTGAGTGTAGCAAAAGCAGTGTTTCTGTGTGAAAAACGACCGATTAGATATAAATCCCAATTTCGGAGGCGGCAGGCAGAGGATTTATTTCCATCAGCCGTAGCAAGAACTTCCTCCAGCAAGCTATCTCTCGCCGGGGAGAACTTTGCCTTAAACGTGCGGCATGGGCGCAGAAAAAAAATACACAAAAGGGGATGAAAATGAGTTTGGGAGTGGTGAGTGTGTGTTATATAATGTAAACGCAGCACAGGGACGTAGTCTGCTGTGTAGAAGGTAATTATTGTTTGCACGCAGAGAGAGAGAGCGAGAGAGAGATAGGATGGGCCCCATTAAGAGCGGCGTTATAGTTTAAAAGAAGAAGCGCAGGGAAAATATGCCGCTCGCGTTTACAAGCGCGACCAAATTGCTTTTTGCACCCCCGTCCAACCATCATAATGGAAAACTCTTAAGCACATTTGGGGTTGTTCCGCCGCTCTCCACCCCCGGTGCTCCCCGCGGCCAATCAACGACCAGCGGCCCGATCGCGTTGCGCCCTTCCCGTCCTACCGACCCCTTTGGCCAAGGGCCAAAATCGTGTGGCACCGAGGGGCGACGCCCTGTCCGCCGAGGGTAAGAGCCACCGAACGGAACAACCGGTTCTTTTTTTCCAGCGAAATGAACCGGGATCGAGCTCTAATAGGGACTATTACTTTGTCGGCTTAAAAGGCTCTCTGTCGTAACTGTTGCTCGATAATGACATTACGAAATGTTTCCTCGATTACGTCCTCCAAATTGCACGCTGCCTATTTCCTTGTGCTGCGAACTGATCCTTCAACCGGTAATTGATATCTCCAAGTTGAGTGGATTGAATTGTGACTAAAGGACCAGTGATCAAAGAATAATAATCATATAAAGGAATGGAATAAACAATTTTGTTAAAAATTAAAATGAGCAAATTATATAATGCTCAGAAGCTACAAAAATATATGCTAATAATCTTTGGAATTTCTCAAAATATAGACAAAATTGATAGAAAAAATTACTAAATTGAATGGTATTCAACAATGTTTGCAATGATTTTATTTTCAATTTCTCAGCCCATTAATGAGAAAATGTAGAACAATTATTTTCTCGCATTAATGATGTTAAATAATTCTTTGGCAATTTTTCGCTATTAAAGAATTGACGGAAAATTAATTTGACAAATTTTTATGTATAAGTACATAAAGAACAATAATAAAAAAGCGGTTTGAATTAAGGTTACATTAATTTTTGAAAAATTATTCAATGAAATTAGAATTGAATAAATGTGGATTATATAAAAAAAATATTGTTTGAAATTAAGATTAAATTTATTATTTGTTTTTGCTGTAGTAGATTTAATTTTCCTGTGTCGTGTGGGACAATCGCTCATTATAAGCGCAAAATCCCCGGCGCGGGTCGTCTCTTGGCAAATAATTGACACTGTCACCTGCCTCTGCGTGTAAACCGCTTTCACCGTTTCGGAAAAAGAAAAACCGGTACTGCGGTGACGGGTGGGGGGAGGGGGTTGAACGGCACAGGGTGGTTCTCCGCAGCATGGAAGACGCATGCAGCGGCGATCAGTTTGTAGTTTGCTGCCGATGGATTCTCAGGCGGAAGTGCTGCAGCTGGGCGACGCCGACGGCGCCGACACCGGCCCCGCCGACAAGACGTCGTCGTGTCCCGTCTCGTCGGCGGCCGCGTTCACCTCTTTCTCCATCTCCAGCATCCTCAGCCGCGCTGACTCCAAAGGGCAACCCAAGGGCCTGGCCTCGGGGGTCCTCAGGGCACCGCTGCCCCTCTCGCCGCATCCTGCGGCCCATTTGCACGCCGACCCCGCAATGCTTTCCAGGTTTGTGTACCTTTATTTCTTTAAAACCAAAAATTTTGATCAAAGTAATTCAACAACAACCAAAACTTTGAGTTATTCTGATTGGAATTGCTGGATCGATTTAAATGGCAGCTTTTCAGGCATTAAGAGAAGCATTTCAAATTGCTATAGCAGCAATAAATCCTTGTGTTTTTTCCACACTGTCTCGCCTGGTTGGAAGGGGTGTACATTTAGTGTGCAGCACAAATTGGTGCGACGAGTGTGTAACATGCACACTTAAAATAAGCCTTAGACGTGCTTACTTCTTAACCGGCCGTGACAAGGGAGAGCTAAAATGTTGATATTGCTCTCGCAGGTCAATCTCTTCTGGGGCTTCTCATCCCCAATTATATTTCGTGTGCTTGTGTCGTTTTTAACAGAAACCCCGCAACGCCCGCGGCTTCTCTCGGGTGTCACTCGGCGTTGTAAGTTGTGCGCGAATAGGGAAATTCTCTTGCTATTATATACCGTATTACAAATTTGCATGTCGTCGATATTGGATATCGGCATTTCTCTCATAATCCGGCCAATCACATTGCTCTGCCTATTCAATTCTGTCTAACTTGTATCATAATCCGAATCAGAGATGATTTTTTATTTGCGCATTTGGTCCGAGCGCGGAGTTTTTATTATTATTGTTGTTTATTCTTGTCCGACAAATATTACATACATGTTATATGCACAGATCACAAAGAAAAATTGAGATAACAATTTTTGGGAGGGAAATGTTTTTGGACAAGAAAAGGCGCCGCCTCTAGTTTCTGTTAAATTAAATATGAATACTACCAATTGGAGCAGAAGAAGAATATCAAATATTGGATCAAAATTTCATTTGATTATTTCTGAGAACGTTTTAAAATCTGTGACAGGAGGTTTAGAAATAATAATTTCTATATGGTCGCATGAATCATTTCAAAGTAAGTTCAATCTATTATCATTCGTTTGGTTTTTTATATTGCAAAGTTTTCTATGAAATATTGATTGAAAAAAAAAAACACAAAAGTTTAGCTCACCAGTGCACTTATGGACTTTTGCGTTGTTGTTTATTTCAAATTAAGGAGGTGAATTGGGAATTAGGAAGCCATAGGGGTGCATTTATCAGAACAAAAAGTGATTTGTTTTTCTAAGGGGATTTTGATTAGTGCCTTGGTGAACATGTTATTGCTATTTTATCTCTGCAAAAGTTATCACATGCATATTTTACGTGCCAAAATCCATATGTATCATATTTCCGATGGTTAAAAATTAAAAATAATCTAGAAATCGCGCTGGAATATCAGCAAGCGGCTTTTGTTAAATACGCTCACAACGGCAAGATAAATATAAAAATAAAACCCTTTCGCTTTGGTATAGATGAAAAATCACAAGCCTGCGGCTGACTGGCTTTCGTGCAAAAGCTTTTTTAGCCGGCGCGTTTGCGCCGCTCGATAGATATCACTGCTCGAAAAACGCTTCACAACATTATGCGCTGCAATCTCTATTATACCGCGGGAGCGGATTTTTTTTTTATTGATAAGTGACTCTTGATATGCGATTGAAATTATTAAAATTTTGACCATAACACGTATATATGTCGTTAAGGTTTAAATTTTTCTTGAAATCCAAATCCACCTCGAGTTTGAATCAATTTGAATTTGTCGGGCGTTTTAGCAGACATCTGCTAGTTGTAAATCCTTTTCTTCTCTTTTTCAAATTTTTTGTATGGACAGAAGAATAAATAATAAGAATTATAAAATTAATTTAATTACTTCATTATATAATAAAGAAATTAATATTTTTCTTGTTCAGATTCAGATAATATTTATTCCGTATTATAAATCACAATTTATTAATTTATAAAAATAATTAAACAAATTATTACTACTAAATAATAGCTTTTTTTCATTATTCAAAAGTAGGAAATTCGAAAATCATAACTTATAATTTTCAATTTTTTTCTTCGCGGTTTGGACAATCACAATTCAGTTATGGTTTTCTTCTTGAATCCTTGCATCATCAAATTAGAATGAGGAAAAAGCAAAATAAAATAAAATAAAATTTAGGTGCCCGTATAGCCACAATAGGATTACCGTTGGTCAGAGAGGTCAAGCAGTTGCTTATGTCAATGGATTATGGCAAAATCCGCTATCTTTCAATGCTACTTGTATGACCAACGGAAAGCCTAATTTTCTAGGAATATGAAAGTCGGTACAAGAATCACGTGTTTTTTTATTTGCAATTCCATTCAAATTAAAGGAGAAATTTGGGGTAATGAAAAGCTTCTGCGATACAATTTTAATTAATGTATGAAATATATTCTTGTAAATTGTCAGCCGAGCAGCGCGTTTGCTCATGAAATAGTGTCGCAAACCGTGACTGAAACTGGTAGAAAATTTTTTTTCACAGGCCCAATTTGAAAAGAAAAATGTTTCTTCTACTTGCTAAGGTCGTAGGAGTTAAACTAGCCAATAAGCAAAATAAAAATATAAGTCATATTATAATTATTTTTGAAACACAAGGAATCGAACAACATTTTTGGAAGCCATAAATCTGAATAGCGTGGTGGAAGAAAATTCCGCACTGATTAGCGATTCCAAAAGAAAATACTAAAACAATTAATTAATTCCTATAATGGCAGAAAAAATAGCAGAGATAATACATATTGTATCAGAAGCCAGAAGCTTATTTTTTCATGCGAAATTATTGATTGTTTATTGTGTTATGCAAACTTCACCGCAACAGGATTAACGTGAATAGTCAATACATAAAAAAAACACTGACAAGACAAGTTAAATATATTGAAAAAATTTACTCTTCTCTTTTTTCCAATTTAAAATTTTTGTATTGACCGATCCGAGAACAATAAATAATAACTAGAGCCATTTATTTAATTAACTAGCTAATTTCTTATGTTAAAATATATGCCACTTCCATTCTTTTGATTCTCGTCTGCTTTTATATTTTCTTATTCTCTACAAAAGACAATAATAGCTTGCCTAATGGGAAAGAATAGCAGAATTTGAGGGTGACACGTCAACACGTCTGGCAGTTTTTGCTCTTAGGTCTGCGCGATTTTCCTCTGGAAAACTCCGATACATCCGGTGCGACGGCGCAATAACGAATGAGCTTCCCTGTTTTATTATCATTTGCATGCATGGAAACTCAATAATAACGGCGGCGCTTTTCCGCGAAATCTTGCACAAAGCCTCGAAATGTCGCAGCACACAATGCAGAGAGAAAATGGGAACGATATATATAATTTTTTTTTTGCACGGATGAGACATCGAGTTGTGGTGGAAGAACATTGTGTAAAAGTATAAAAAAGTTATGTCTGTGTATATATTTTTTTTTTTTAATATTTCTACTCCGCGGAGTACATTCACAATAATAATAAAAATATAAGCAGTGACAGGAAGGATAATTAAAAATAAACCTGCTGTTCGTTCTGGCTGTCCTTTTCCGCATTTTGTTTTGAAAAATTTTAAATAATGGGGGAGAAATGCCTCCTTTTATACAAGTTTAAATAAAATCGCATACAGCAGCTTATTTCGCGGCCGGGGGAAGAAAGAAGGGTTTGAATTAAACGCGGAAACAAAGGAGTCTCGCCAGCAAAGCATCAGTCATCAAAATTTTTATTACTTTCCTCCCGCCGCTCTTCATTATGTTATAGAAATGGTCCTCGCTCGCTCACTCTTTCCAAAAGGAAAAATTAAAAGAGAGAGAGAGAGATTTTTATGAGAGAGAGAAAGATTGCTCGCTTTCAGTGGCCACGATTGTTAACAGAACTGCTTCTCTGCTAGGTTGTCACCAGCGAGCTTTTCAATCAACTGCTCTCTCCCTTATTTCTTTCTCGTTTTGCGCCACAATGGCGAAACCTCAAGGCGAAATTTCTGCCTCCGCGTCTCTCTCTCTCGCTCTGCGCTTCTTTTTGACAAAGTGTATTTTATCAACTCGCTAGTTGCACCGAAAGCAGCTTTGCCATGTAATTAGAACCTGCAAAAAAAGGGGCCAACACAAACCGCCCCAACAAACAACATAGAAAGCAAGAATTTTATTAGAAATCCCTAACAAAAACTGGTGAGTGCAAATAAAAAATTTGGCTGTAAAGAAATATAATTTTTTGACTTGAAAGATTACTTACTTTATTCCACACAAAGTTTCACGTAATTATCACTCAAACACCGAAGATAAAATGATTTATTGAAAGTTATTTTCAACTCAATAAGTGCCAAGAAGGGTAAAAAAATTCTCCAAAAAATGAAATTTATTTTTAAATGATTTTTTTTTCTTTTTCTGGTCGATTTAAATTAAATTTGACTTAAAGCTAAATTTCATTTATTTAATTTTAAATTATCTCGTTACTCGTGGGAAAACATAGACTCTAAAATGCCAGCGGCGGGTGTGCGCACTTAAATAATATTACACCCCTTGCATCACTGGAGGCCACAAACATCCGCGCTAGGTGTGGCCGCAGAGTCGAGAGCTTTTTGAGCGCCCAGCATGATGCCATATTTTATGAATAAATTTAACTTGTTGTAGATTAAAATTTAAGACCGTTCACCTAGTAAATAACAATGCACAAAATAAAGTAATGAAATTTGGATTTCAAATTTTTTATTTTCTAAAAATAGAGTAAATTTTATATGCATTAATTTTTTTTCTAGAAAATGTGTATTTTTTTCTAACTCCAATTTTGTTTGTAGTTTTCATTTATAATTTTGAATATCTGGATGATGTATCTCGTTATATAGGGAGAGATTGCCTTGTGGTACACCAATAAACCTAATTTGCAACTTAATAATTTGTCATGTATCATGTCATTAACTATGCATAATAATGAGCTGATATTTTTACGTTGTATAAAATAATTAATCCAAATGGCCTCGTTCTTCTTTTTGATTTAATTTGAATCTCAAATTTTTAGCACCAAAAATATTTCAGAGTTAATTAATTAATTTAAAAACAATAACAAAATTTTATATGAGTTTTCATTACACTAAATTTCCAGAAATCTGCAGTTATTTTCTGAAACTCCTGATGTAGTGTTCCCCCGTCTTATATAAAAATGGCGCTCGTCATGTAACAAACAGCTCAGCATCCACCCCAGCAGCCAAGGGTGTAGTTTCAGCCCCTTAGCTTAAGTGCATTTTCGATTTTCGACGAAATCAAAACCGAGCGCGGACAAGCAGGTCCCTCTCCATATTGTGTGGAGCAGACGAATTCCCTCCTCTATCGAAGGGAAACAAAATCCATCACTAACCGACCCAAGAGAGATTCGCTCGTCCTTTTGCGGACGCGCGCTCACGATTAATGGAACAAGACGAGGCCTAATGACTCATCCACCTGAGATGCAGCTCGAGTGGAAAACACGGCCCACTTAGTTTTCCGCCGGCCGCCGATAAAGGCTTGAACGGGGAAACTCTCTGCATGGGATCATTTTCCACCGATACACCCCCAAGCGTGCACTCTTCCCTCCACCCTCGTTTACCGGCGCTCTCCCTTGATTAACCAAAATTCAGCAAATAACAACCACCCTCTCGCCAAAGATTTGGTTGCGCCTATTACCTACCCGCAGCGTATAGACTGAGAGAAGCGATTTTGCAAACAGATTTTTGCGGTTCAGTTCATTCTTTTGCTCTTTCCGACCCGAAAATAAGAATTTTAAATTTTTACATAATTTGTTCATATTGACTTGAATAATTGGGTAGAATTCTGGTGCATCAAAAAAGAATAGCACAGTCCGAAAGGACTACCCGAGACGATTTTATTAATTAATTTTATAAATTCAGATTCAAAAAAATATTTTTCTTTCGTGTACATCGTGGACATAATGTAAAAAAATTATCTGTCATATAGAATTAAAAAAAAAAAAATGCTCGTGCGTGTCAAAGAACATTTTTTTGCAACAGAATATTAATTCCATTTCCTTCTTTCGTCGTCTTTGTTTGAAAAATTAGAATAAATATTTTACGATGCAATGACAGAGACATCATATGTAATATCACTAATGACACATTCAAAGTGAAGGAATAATAATATTAAAATACATATTATTTTTATATAGGAAATGAAGAGATCGGGCTTTTTCCTCGTTGCTTAATTTGTTTCTTATTCAAAAACAAATGACTCGACCAGTTTCGGTCAAAGTCTGCGACCCTATTTCATTAGCAAACGCGCTGATCGTGGAATACATAGTAATAAAATAATTTGTTCTTGAATAAAAAACATTAACTGCAACAAGGAAAAAGTCTGATCTCTTCATTTCCATGATTATATCCTTGAGTGTCCACTTCTTCAAATATATTTGTATATAGTTGAAGTTTTTGTGTGAAACATTGAAACTAAAAATATTTTATGAAATTCTTCGTTTTGCACCACAAATTTTGTTAGTGACCTTTTTGGTCTGTTGTGCTCCCTTGTCGTGTCCAGCACCAACAGATTTAAATCAGGGGCGGGAGGGGGAGCGATGATATTGGTCGGCGGCGCGGCAGCATTTTTGCACAAGGAGCGTTCCGTGTCCGTCCGCCGCCGCCGCCGCCAACGAGTATTGATTTTATCCGCCGCTCTCTCTCACAGCCGCTTTCTCTGCTCTTTCTCTCCCTCTCTCTTTCTGCGCCGACGGCGCCCCCGCGATCAAAATTAATTATTCCTGCACCGCGCACTCCTCCTCCCGCGCGCAATGAAGCAAGCGCCAGGCGTCGCCTGTTCAACTCCCCAGACGACCGCCGACAACAATGGCAGATTATTTTCCATGCAAAAAAGGATTAAATATTATAAAAATGATCGAAGTTTCAATGGTTTTTAATACAGATATACAGAGTATTTGCATGGAGATTTCCAATTACAACAATAAAATTAACTGGTAAAAACTAAAAAGGTTGTTGTCAACTTAAAATTTAAGAATAATCGATTTTATTAAATCACTATTTTGTTGCCTCAAGTGCTCTGATTTGAGAATTTTTAGGAATCAAGAAATTATATATTTATCCTCTGGAAATCCATTTAATTCTGCTGGAGTATATTTCCTCTCTCCTGATTTTTGTGTGCTCTCTGAAATTTTAATTATGAATTAATATAATGTCTATTGATCAATATGTGATATATTAATATTTTGTTTGCATAATTTACTTATTCATTTTCAACGTCGAATTAATGACTTGTTGTATTACAAATGTTGTGTACAAACAACAATTTTTATTTGACGCACTTTTTTTTTTACTCCTGATTTTATTTTTGTAAAATATGATCAGGGTTGTTTATTCTCCCCTTGCCAATTTAAAACCGTTTTCCGAGTTAAAAAGATCGCATTAGCGCGGAGCAGTTTATATGCAGATAATCTTAGCGACTTGGAACAGAAGAGACTCTTCTCTTTCTCCAAGTTGGTCTTTTCGTCGGTGAAGACGGAGGGGATGCATTCTCGGTCGCTTGCTTTTAAGTTAAGAGGGTGGGCTGGGGGAGGTGTCATGTTCCTTGTAAAACGACCTACTCAAGCAAGCGAGAGAGCGAAAAAGACTTCTCTGCAGCATCGATTGGATCGTCGCCGCCACCGCGACGTGGAGAAAGAAAAAAGCCGCTGCCAACTCGCAAGGAAACTTTGTTCGCCCCTTCACAATTGTTTCACGCAAAACTTTGGACTCCTGATGCGAAATCTTAAGACACGCAGTTCACTTCTGAGGCGATCAACGTCAGCCTTAAATTGACTTTCTTTTTTTATTAGAAGAAAAATATTTGTCATATAGAAACTTGACAGCACAATTATTATAAATATTAAAAGAATTGGAAATGAAGATATCGGGCTTTTCCTCGTTGCAAAAAAATGTTTTTATTCAAAAACAAACGGCTCTACCAGTTTCGGTCACAGTCTACAACCCTATTTCATGAGCAAACGCGCTGCTCGCTGACTAATACAAGAATTAAAGGAATTATTAATATGTTGAAAAAAAATTTAGCATAGCTTTCAGCTTAAGGGTAGCGATCTTTTTTCAAAGTGTGGGTTTACAGAGGCGTATAGACTGGATTTATTTATTGCATTAATTTTTCAAGGTGTTTAAAACAAATTCCAAAGTAATCAATTTCACTAGTTTTTTGATGCATGAAACTTTCTTGCCTGAATTGGTTTGAACTAGGCAATTTCTTGACAGATGTGTTGTGCAGGAAGACTAACTCAAATTATCAAAAGCATTGCCGGCGGTAAAAAAATCTCACGAGTTTTTTAATAAGTGTTTTTTTCTTCTGATATTTAAGATATTAATTAAATTTTCATGACGTGCTTAATGTGAAATATTGTAAAATTGGTATAGATACATATGCTTCTTTTTTTATTTCAGCCAATGATATTTTTTCTAGCCACATTGAAAATTTGGTTCCCAGAGTATTGAATTGCAGAATAAAGCCATGAGGTTTCATTAAATATTAATTGTGCACGCAAAATTAATGCAATTTTCATTGAATCGAGGCAGAATATATTTTCTGAGTATTTATTTTTACCATTTTACCACAGTGCGAAACCTGAATTGTTTGGACTTGTGTTTCAGATTAGGCCTTATGTCCCATTTAGGGGCGTTGGCCGTCGCTGGACGGAGCTCATTCCTCACTTCAATCTACCCCGAGAGCAAACACCCCGCCAACTCGTGGTACTCCTCTTGGGTGCAGCGTTCTCCGGCCGCCGTGGCCGCCCTGAACGCGGCGGCCGCGGCCGTCGTGGCGCACAGCGACCGACCCAGCCCCACAGGTAATTTTCCGACTGTATTGCTTGGCCGAGCGTACCGGGGGCCACCGCTCAATAGCAGCAGACAAATAAAAGAAGCAGTTGAAAGGGGAAGTTGCCGGCGGAGAGCGATATTGCGCTTGTTAAGAATTGATTTTATTTCGAGAGCCGACTGGAGAGAGAGAGAGAATAATACACCGCGTCTGCGCCTTTTCTGGGCAAATATGCTCCTCCGACGAAATCTCACCCCGCACTAGAATGGATGCACATGATTGGACGGTGCCAGGGGTGCGGTGCAGCCAATTTCCATTCGCTCGCAGCATCTTTGGTCCGAATGATATGAAATATTGTTTGTTATCTGTAGTATATACGCTGTCGCAGTCGGGGAAAAGAAAATCGTTGGCAAGAGAAGCACTTAACATTGCATAAAACGTAAACGGGAAACCTTAGAAGCCTCGCAAAACACACGACCGAAGCTATTTCCTCATTGCGCGACTTGAAAGCCGATCGGCCTAAATTGGGCTCATTTGCCACTGTGCTGAACAAACGATTCTTTAACACTGTGACTGGAAAACAGCTTCTTATATTCATGCTGCAAAATCGTTTGACGCTCTTTATTAAATAAAACTACAAACCTAATCAAATAATAGGACTAAAATTTCATAAAGTGCAAATTAGATAATTGAGAATATTACTCAAAAATTATAATACACCACATTTGACAATGATCCTCCGAAAGTTTTTTTTATATAAATAATTATATGCTATTTAATTAAGAAATCGATGAATAGTTTATTGCTTTGGCTATAATTTATTTTTCACACCACAATTAATTAATTTATTTTAAATTTCATTACCATGTTTCCTCGATAAAAAAAATCAATAGCTATTCTTCTAAACCTCTGTTATTTTGCCAATTTTAAGATTGGTATTCCATGTTCGCAGGAAGCGAAAGCCAAAGTGCCCCCAGTTCTCCAGGCGGCGTAAACAGAAACGAAGACGTTCCCTCGCCCAGCGGCTCTATGCACTCGAGTGTGGTGCTGTCGCCAGGGGCACCGTCGCCCCGACCTCTGCCCTCGCCCCTACCTCACCACGGACATCACCCGCTGCTCATGCAGAGTCCCAAGCAGGACGAAAACAAGAACAAACCTGCCAGACCGAGCAGCACCTCCAGTGGCGGAAGCACCGCCGGCCAAAATAAGAGAAAGAAGAAGACGCGCACTGTCTTTTCAAGATCACAGGTAACGCGATACAACGCCAATTGGTTTGCGGGATTTTTAATCACATAATATACATTTGAATTTTTAATTTTTTTACCAAACTTTGAAATAAAAAATATTAAAATTTCAACATATGAAAAGTTTTCCCCTCTTGATTGAATATCAACACTTACGATGTTGATAATTTGATTTTTTTAATTCAAATTATTTCAAACGGGAAAGATTTTAAATTTTTGTTGCCAGAAGAAGGAGGAATAATTAATAATTAATATTTTAGAGCTTGTGAGCGCAATAAGCGTTGTGCTTCTTTTTTGGCGCTTTCTTTTGTGAGCAAAAGCTTGTTTCCAGGGCTCAAGATTATATGTAGACGTTTGAAATATTTACTGTAGAAGATGATTACTCATTCATTTGCAACTATACAGTCCGTGTTTTTTTTCCACTTAAAACTCGGCCCACACATCCAAATACCCCTCATCTCTAATGTGCCTAAAACTGCTGTGTATTTTTTTTAAGAAATTTAAAAAAAAATTGAATTTTTATTGGAGACCGCATTCTTGCTCAAAATGTCAGGAAAAATCCACCTTTTGGGCGCGCTCGTCAAGCACGTCAAAGCATTAAAATAAATTAACAATTTTTTGTCATTTTTGTCTACAGGTTTTCCAGCTAGAGTCGACATTTGACATGAAACGGTACCTGTCAAGTTCGGAGAGGGCCGGACTGGCGGCCTCGTTGCACCTGACAGAGACGCAGGTCAAAATTTGGTTCCAAAACCGTCGGAACAAGTGGAAGCGGCAGCTGGCCGCTGAGCTCGAGGCGGCCAACATGGCTCACGCGGCGCAGCGGCTGGTCAGGGTGCCCATCCTGTATCACGAGGGCGGCTCGGGGGCGTCCGCGTCGTCGGGCGCCGACGGGCCGCCACCCGGTGCCGCCGCCTACCCTGCCCTCTACTACCACCACCAACACCAAGCGGCCGCGGCCGCGGCGGCCGCCTTCGGCTCATCTAGTCCAGTGAGTCGGGCCCCACCCCCTCCGGCCACCCTCTCTGGACTCGTCTAGCCATCACTCGATCTCGACCGTAGGACGAACAAATGAATAATTTATTGGACGGTTGAGACAAATAAAAAGTGACTATGTGTGTGCGCCATGTTGAAAAGAAAAGGACGCGATTCTGTTTCTCAAAAGTGTTGTGCAATGTGTTCGTTGAGGTTTGTTGCTCTTCTCGTCACTCAAAAGCGGCCACCACGATTTTGTTTTTAATTCACCAAAAAGGCTTGATACCTTTAGAATTATTCCTTTATGATCTGTTTTTCATATTTTACAAGATAAAAAATTGTAGATTTCACTATTAATCTCCACAATGCAGATCGATTTTTGTTCTTCAATTATTCTAATCCAGAATATTTTTTTTATCCCTCACAAACAAAAATGATGAAAGTGGATATATTTTATTTAGAATAAAATATAATAAATAATGTCAAGTTCTTTCAAAAGCTCAATCTTTTTTAAGTATAAATATTAAAACATTTTTAAGATAAACTTTGATTTAATTTAAAAAATTTAATTCACTGAAACGTACCACTATAAGTTTGCTATGTCATTATTATTTTTTTTTTAACATTTCCACTCAATTCAGTATAAAATTGTTTTTTATAAAAAAAAGGTATCAAGGTCCTCTATTGTTATGATTGTTTTTCATTCCGCCTATTCGCATTTCTTGCAATTAACACAATTATAAACTACCTCAAAATATAAGAGAAATTGACCGATTTCATTCCGAAGGAATCCCATATTTGAAAGTTTTGCAAACAGGTAGACTGACTTAATCAAAAAACACTGCGAAATTCTGACAAATTGTATTCTTCTCACAATCAGCTCTGATTAGACAAAAAGGCAAGATTTCTTATTGTACAGAAATCCCAATGTTTGGGGCAAATATATCATTATTAAAATGAATAACAAAAAAAAATGAACCTCAAATAAGTTTTTGCAAAATATTCTGTGATTATCAAATTGCGTTATTGGCAAGCACTTGACAGAACAAACATTCCTTGCTCTGTATAGATAAGTGAGATGCTGCGCGAAATGTTTTTTGTGTCATTTAAAGTTATACAAAATTAAAAGTATTGTGTATAAGAACGCAAAACTGCTAAATCAATTCTTATAAATTATTAAATTAGGAATTAAGGACGAAAATAAGCTCAGCCGTTTCAATCCGCTAAGTAAGCTCAGAATGTATAACAAATACAAAACGTAGAAAAGATGTACTTCAAATTCTTTTATTTGCCTGTCACTCTTAAAAAAATTTATTTCAAAGAAATTATGAAAAATATTTTTGGCATCGAAAATATGTACGCAGTAATTGTAACTATATGATTCCTTGTAAATACGCCATATAATGTACGTACAATACCCTGAGCGCATATAGAAATTAAAAATTACCTTGTGCTGCATCGATTCCGTTGGACTTCATGTTTGTAACATAAATGGAGAATTTAATAAGTCACAAACAAAATTATGTGTGAGAAAAAACTTAATAAATAACAAAGATAACTGGAATAGATTTTTCTGATCTTATTTTAGAAAATATACATAATTTCATCCCTCCTGCGTGGTTTTCGACGCAGGTAATCCAATATCAAAAGACGTGCGTGCGAGACGAACCACTTCTGCAGCAGCGCGAAATTCGAAACTTTAGTTTATAAAATAAGCAGCTTATATGGGCTTACTTAAATGCTCTCGTCAACAACCTCTTCCCCCTTCTATTCGTATCAAGAAGAATTGAAAAGAGCACGCCTTCGATTTTCCTCGAAATCAATTTAAATTACATGCTCTCATTGAAATAAAAAAATTACAGCTAAAAAAAATGAGGGAACAATTAATGCGTGAAATCATTTGCGATAGCAATCTGCAGAGGAAGTGGCGTGTTGTGTTGTGTGTGCGTGTGTGTGTGTATTTGTGAGACACCACAAATATGTTGTTGTCAAATGCTAATTCGATTCTCACTGACCCCTGACTAAATGGTCGCTCGTGCATGATTTTGTTTGCCTCTTGGCGCAGCAACTGTTGGTCTTTGCGCGTATACGGAAGAAAGCCATGCGCCCGCACTCGAAGTTCTGGGGGGAGAGCCGCGCGCGGGGTGGTCCCCCTCGTCACATCGTAATGCTCGCTAATAACAAAATAATCAACAGCCGCTCTCGCACTCGATCCGCGAGCACGCATTAAATAAACATGCACGCGCCGCCGCTGTTTGATAACATCCGTCCTTTTTATATTTTATTACTCGCGCGCTCCTTAATTGGCAGGGCGTGCCGGTGCGGCCGAATTTCGTCAAGTTGCGCCCACGCAAATTTGCACCCCCGCGGAAAAAAAATATGAATATTTTCTCCCCTTCTTATAGCGAATTTGAACATTATTAAACTAAGTTTTGCTATGGTGATTTGAATTTAAAAATCGGCTTTTCTTCGATGGGTTTTTGTGAGTTGTTTATTGTTTCAGAAAAACAATATCTAATTTTTGTCAAAATGTTTTCCCAGCTCATGAATTATGGCTGCAGCCCGCAGCCGAAACATGTAGAGCAGGATATTGTTTTTCTGAAACAATAAACAACTCACAAAAACCCATCAAGGAAATGCCGATTTTTAAATTCAAATCCCCATGAATTAACCCTCGATCGTGAAATTCTACCACAAAAATAAGTTTTGCTAAGTCATATTCGCGTGCAGTCAGCGTCAACAAGAATAAACTAATTTATTTGGTTTGATTTCAATCAAAAATAAAATACAATTGTCAATTTTTTTTTATAGACTTGCAGAAAATTAAATGAATAACAGTTTATTTTTTATGGAGTTTTGTCCTTTTTTACTAGCAAATTTTTTTTCTCTCCCAATGTGGATTTCCAAATAACCTGTTTTTGACCTGTTGTGAGAGAATAAACGAATTGAATTGAACAATTTTATTTAATTCCAGATTATGCTCTTTAGCTTTCATCAACATAATAAAAATTGGTCTCGTAAACTTTAGAAAAACTCTCAAGGAAATGGGAATATGATAAGAAGGTCAAATTTTACGCAGCAAGTATAAGGATAATTTGGCTCTTGTTACAACGTTCGAGGTCAACTCTTCTGGCGTGTGTTGTGTTTTTTGTCTCTCGGAAATCTGACGGCTCGATCGTCAGATCAGATGTCGGACACATCACTGCGTGTACAACATAAACAAACAAAACGCAGCAGATGACTCGGTAATGACCACGCGTGGTCATCGAGCCGTCAATTCGATAATGAGTGGCCACTTCTTCTTGCATCCGCCGCACACGCGACCACCTTATCACCCCATCTCTCCGCGTAATTTTTTTTTCACATATTAAGTATAACGACGAGTGCATCTGCCGCACCTGGGGGCTATTTTGACCGGCGGTAATTATTTTATCCAGACTCAATATCAATTAGTGGGTGCGTGCGAGTGAGCGACGCGTGTGGTCAGCTCACAAAAACGCCTTTATCAATTAATTAACGAGAAATCTTCCGGCCGCCCTCCTCTATTGACGATATACCTCCCCTGACTTGTATGCACGTTTGCGTTTTATGTGTTTATCACATGTTACCTTCCATTTGACAGCACCGAATTTAAACAGTTTTTTTTTTGGTGATTAGAATTTAAAATCGGCTTTTTTATTATTACTATTTTCTACATCGCAATTTATAAAAAGTGCCTCCTCAAAAAATTGTGGTTCCTTTTGTGTAATTTTTTAATTTGGTCATTTTTCTAAAATAATTGTCATTTTGGAATTTTATTAAATAATAAATCACCATATTAATATTTCAATTTTTTTACATAACGATTATCCTTATGAAATATTGCTTAAATTATTTAAGCGTTTGCTGCAAAGGTAATTTAAATCAAAATTGAGGATTTGTATTTTTGTATAGAAATTTAATTAAAATACAATACAATTCAATATAGATAAATATTTGCAGCGATCTTTGGAAAACAAATAAATTAAATCTGTCAATATTTGGAGACACTGATTCTCCCTGCACATCCTCAAGTAAAGTGAAAACAATTAAAATCATTGTTTCTTTCATTGGAAGATTTGAATTGGTCCCGTTTTATCCACCAATATTGTAAGTATCATGGCTATAATTAAGAAATATTTTCTAAATCCGATTTTGAATTTTTTTTTGCCATGTGAGAAAATTACATTTTACTTAAGAGGATTAGAATAGAGAAAATTTTCAGAAGAGATTCTCAATTATTTCCACAAGATTAGACTCCGTGTTTCATGCCAGTCATAAAAACAAATTATACACCTTTATTCTTTTGCTTGCATCGGGAAATTGAGCCTCAACCTCTTCATCCCTATTTTCATTTGACTTCCCCTCTCACTTTTCCTTCAAATTGCGTGCAATCAACATCATTCAGGCTTTTCTTTTTCTTTCTCTCTTCCATTTTCCCTCTTTTCCTCTTGAAAGTACATTTCTCTCGGCGAACACGCCCTGCAGAATTTATCGGGCCGCTAGAACTGAAACGGAGCGGAGAACAGACAGTTTTACGAGCGAGTGCAAATTTGCTGGGCCTCTATCTCCTCCTCTTGATTTTTTCGTCGTAAAGCTGCAAGAGAGATTTTCAGGCGTTAATCGGCCGACTGCTTTTTTCCGACGGGCAGCTGGGGGGCCGTTGGTCGATCCCCTGAAATATTAGCACGGGCCTCTGGAAGTGCACTCTGGATGCTACTTTTGTAAAAGCCATTGCCGGTCTAATCTCTCCCGATGGACTCGGCCAACTCCACCCACGGAAAAGCTTTTTCTGGCCCAATGATTGGCACGTAAGCGCAAAGAGGGCTTCTGCCCGGCAATAAACGTCGCCCGCGCTCTCTCTCTCTCTCCGCACACAGTTGGTCTCTTTCTCTGCGCTGAATTAACAACAGCGAGGCTATTAACTTTAGATAGCCGGCCCCGCACAGCAAAGAAGCTCTCTGTGTTCCATTCTCTTCTTATCCGCCCAGATCCGGTCTCGGGCTCAAGTGCGTTCATTTAATTCCCGATTGAAATCGATCTTGTTTCCTCTTGTGCTCCGTTTTCCGTTATTTATTCTTTTATCTCGATCTTGTCAAATAGGAATTGGTGACTTCAAATATAAATTAAAAAAAAAAAAATACACACAAATACAGCCAAATTAAACATTTTCAGAAAGTTTTCTGCATTTATTTATTGAAGAGGAAAAACAAATTTAAGACAAAAACATAGTAAGTTTTTTTAAATTAATAAATAATTATTTTTTCAAGACCTAGGCTGTTATTTATAAATATGCAAGTTATTAAATACAGGAATAATAATTTTCAAAATACATATTTACTGGTACAGATGTCAGTTATACAGAATGTAACATAAAAGTTGATTA